GTGTCTGACAGGAAATTACGATTTGTATAGTTTAGAAGAGCCATAGAATTTTGACGGCTCTGTGCCGCTGGATCACACAAAATTAGTGATGATTTGGTGATGAGTGGTATTTCCCAAGAAGACCGGATAAACAGATTCCGACTCTGTTTACTGGAGTACCATGGAGTGCGCAATTTATCTACACGTTCTATTCCAGTGAAAAATTCAGGCGGTTAGTGCCAACAACAATATAGTTCAATGACTCACAGGGACCGAAGCGTGTATTTCTCAACACTCCACTGGACGAATGAACAATCAGATATCACTGTTCTGGACTATGGAATCACCAGTTTTGGTTATAGTGCTTCAAAGAAATGAAAACTGTCTGCCTACTGTCACAGTAACTTAGGACGGAATTCAGGATGCCTGGTTGTTAACTGATCTGTCATGGTTATTCTGTTACTTGTTTGTGACAAAGATGAGAAATTTTGTTGGTCGTCGGATTGTTTGCCGAGATTTAGTGTGCCGTTTACAATAATAGTAGTAATACTTTGTTGAAGCCGATATATGAACTCTGCTAGATACTGGTCCTGTCGGAGAACTATCAGAATTTTTGTGTCGTTTTAACTGCGCCAGAATTTCCAACTCTCCGTTGCAGATATGATTACTCAATACGTATAACTCGTAATGCGAAGTCCACTGGATTTGGTCTCAGTAACAGAAAGGCGGATTATATCAAAGGTTTTGCAAGTCCTGGAAGACTTTGTCTACCTGGAGTAGATATGATTACAAAAGTGTCTAAGGGGTTCAAGTAACCAGTATCGGACGCTGATACCCCTAGCATAAACAATCGTAACAGTGAAGACTGACTGACCTAGAAAATCCACAGCGGGCAGACGAGTGCAAAGATCACGGGCAATTGATGAGGTATTTGCATATCAACCCTAATGATCTTGTTGAAATCTTTAGTTTGGAAGTGTAATTACCGAAAACTACTCCTCAGAGAAGGATGCAAATTAGTCATCAGAGTAATTGGAAACCTTTAATTTAGCAAGATACTGAAACACATACTACAATGTTCTGAACTGAGCAGAAATACGACACAGTCCTAAAAGACGAACCTGAGCACGAGTACCTTATCAAAATGAATTTCACATGGGCCAAGTCTAATCTCAGAAATTAGTCATCAGAGTAATTGGAAACCTTTAATTTAGCAAGATACTGAAACACATACTACAATGTTCTGAACTGAGCAGAAATACGACACAGTCCTAAAAGACGAACCTGAGCACGAGTACCTTGTCAAAATGAATTTCACATGGGCCAAGTTATGTCTAATCTCAGAGAAAACATTTCAGAGGGGAAACATAAAGTCTATAAGATTTAAACACTGTTTACTGATAACGCTCACAGATTTTTCACTGGAAACTGCCGAGGGTAGACTAAGTCACTTTGTGTCCACGACCACACAAGGCTACAGGACCTGAATTTTTCTAATATGAGATAATTGCCGGTAAGCTGGCTACGACAACGATTTAGGATTTCTTTCAGGCGATGCGATAATCTTGTTTATGAACCGAAAAACCCTGACTCCTTTTCATCCGTCGAGTAAGCCGAGTTTTGGAGGCTTTTGATGTATAGGGAGAAGATAATTACGCAAAACACTCATGACTCTAGTTGGCTGGTCGAAGGTTTGTAATCACTGCAGAGGGTGCATTGATTTTGTTGTAGCATTCACAACTTTTGTCCCTAAAATTCTCATGAGACTGCTGACCAAAAAAACCTGGAATAGAATTGTCAAATTTATGCCTTTGGATAATTGAAAGGTGACCATTTCGTCCACATCTATGTGGGACAGGGAACGTCCTATGTAATGAAATCTACGCCCATCTGAGTGTCAGGCAATAGTTGAGGGACCGTTCTAATGACCTTAAAAAGAACGGAAGCTAAGATCGTATCTGAAGTCATCCAAATTTCTGAGCTGATGCAGTGATCACAGTCAGCTTGATGGTGAGTATTTAAGGGAGACCAATGCTGATGCTTCTAAGCCTATTAAAATTTTTGATAAAAGAATAACTGTTGACATATTAAAAACTTTGAAGCAGTTTCCTTCCGTATTGATCCTTGGCAGTATTACTGTTGTGAACAGTAGTCAAACTTATCAAATGCCTATAAACTGAATGGTCACCAGACACATAACGGGGTCTACACTTTTACATTTTCAAAAACTTTCCAAATATAGGCAAGCAACCTGATGTAGAAATGGTTACAACCAGTGAGTTGATATGATTTAGTTAATTCATCAAATATGCTTTAGTAGTTACCCTTAACATCGACACTCGTGATAATGCCTCATATATATATATATATGTATATATATATATATATAA